GTCCAACCCTAACCTATAAAAGACAACAACTGTGTCCTGAATGAATCCGAAGACATCTTCTTTTAGGATATGATGTTGGAGACATCCCCATCACTCACCACGCTGTAAAGCACACACATACATGAATAGGTAAATACAAGAAAAGAAACCAACTCATACACACATGCACAACCCATCAACAGCTCAGAAAAAAAGGAGTCATTTTTTTGTAAGTGGTACCTATACTTTCCAAGGTTGTGCGTTGGCTACTCTGATGAGAAAATTGTCGGTTTGTTGATGAGAAATTTGCCATTTTCTTGATATACTTGGGGTTTTTTGTTGAAATGGTAATATTAACTTAATAGTTCAATCCATCTTCTTAGGATTTTTAGATGTTAGTTCATGCAACGTCATCCCTTTGTCCTCTTGAGAAATAGATGTTTGTTATGAGTCTGAGTGTTTTCTAAGTTGATATATATTACAGCTCCTGTATTATTCAAATGGTATCTTTTGATCATCAATTATTCAATGTTATTACCGTTAACGTCTATACTTTAGCCATCACCTTATGGATGATCTGCTTCTTTCAATCGGTTATGTGTGTGTGTAACTGATGAGGAAGATTCTGACTCTGATTTTTAGAATCTGTTTATTTTTTATAGAAAAATATGGGATGCCATAACTGGAGACGAGTTGCATTCATTTGAACACAAGCATATTGTCCGTGCTTGTGCCTTTCCTGAGGTAAGTTGGTCATTTTAGACCATGGCTTAGTTTTTTATTTTACTCCTGTCCAATACAAGCATCCGTGTCCATGCATGTCCTACTCTTATCCTGCAGCTCCTCTATCCCACACCAAGCAATAGATGTCATTATTTGATGATGATCGTTTTAGAATGCTGCAACACTATAGTGAGAATGTGGATCCATATTGTCTGTAGTCAATATGTGAATTAGTAGTTCAATATACTGTAATCGGCTGTAATATAGTCTATACCTGTCGAAATTTAGGATAAAAAACGCTGATAGTTGTTCCTAGCTGCATACTTATTGTATTTAACATAGAAATCTGGTATAAAGTATGTTTTTTGATTATTGGATGCTCTGAAAAGCTTCTTGAGTTTCTGATACGTATTGCTGATCTTAGACTGTTAACATATTAATTGGTGTTGATTATAGGATACAAAGCTTTTGCTTACTGGTGGGATTGAAAAACTATTACGCATATTTGATTTGAACCGTTTCGATGCACCACCTCGAGAAATTGATAAATCACCTGGTTCAGTCAGAACTGTGGCCTGGCTTCACAGTGACCAAACAATTTTAAGTTCTTGTACCGATATGGGAGGAGTGAGGTATGCATGTAATTTTCTTTCAGTTCTCTTATATGATTTTCTTTGTACTTTGATTTCTGTTTTTATCTATACTTGGTTATATTTAATCTTCCTTTTCTCTTAATTTATGGTTACATTTCTTGTTTCCTGCCTAATTGTATATAGACTGGAGAGAGATATGGATTGCTTCCTATATTGACGCTAGTTAGCGCATTGGTGGAAATTCATCTAGTTATAATTTGAACAAATATCACTGACGACAGGTGATGAGGATTGAATAAAATTAATGGGTTTTTGGATCTTAGTCCCTTAAATCATTTGTATTTTGATATCAGTTCCCCAAAACTTCAGATATTGACATAAGTCCCCCAAATCACCTGAATATGTTGATATTAGTCCCTGTAGTTAGTTGGTGTTAAATTGGATGGGGAATATTCCATTTTCTTTAACTTTTTTCTTGAATGGACAGTTATACCCCTCAGTTCACATACCCAAACCCACAACCTTTTAAACTTATACCCATTACGAACCCCCAAATCCAAACCTGTTTAATCAAAATGCAAACCCATTTCTCTTATCTTCTTCCCACCATACCCAACCTCAAACCTGTTAATCTACACCTTCTCTCCCTTAACAAACACACTTAAACAAATCATAGGTCTTTCTTCCCCTTGGCTGACAGCACAATCATCGGCCTTTCTTCCCCAGTAACTCAAGTCCATGGCCAAGTCTACAGACTGTTAAGCTGAATATCTAAATATGTTCCAACAATTTCAATGCGATTTCCTTCAAGCTTTCAAATTATTATCCTTCTTTTTTCAGCCTCTGGTGGTCAATTATATCTCAAAAACATTTTGCCATGCTTGTCTTTCAATCTTCTGAAAATTATCACAAATACATTCATGCACATTGCTGTGTACTCATCACTCAAATTTCCCCGAACTTAAAATACCCGATTGAGAGAAATCCAAGATAACACTAATCACTTTCACCTCGTTTGCCTAATCCTGAAACTCCCTTGTCGAGACCCATTGATAACTATTGTTCAAGAAACCACATCTCTCTCATATGTTTCATCAGACGCCTTCAGCACAACCCAATTTGCTAAATTTCTACTCACAAATGCATCAGTTCATTCTCTTGGTTAGCAAATAACTGAATGGACCTGGTTTCGTAATGAATTTGGGTAAAGTAGCATATCACATGCTTTGAAATTTAAGGCAATGGTATAGAGGGAGGGGGAATGAGTGTTTAGTTGGGGTGTTTAATGTGGTCAAGATTAAAACTTAATTTAACCATGGTTGAGGGTTTTGAACGGAAATAGTAACAGAGAAACTAGAATCAACAAACTAATGCAATTTGGGGGACTGATATCAACATATGAAGATTTGGGGAACTAATATCAAAATTGTGATGATTTAAGGGACTAATATCGAAAACCCCTAAAATTAAAGCTTGTTCCAAATGTCTGCTCTTCCTTTGGTTGTTTTCAGATCTCATCCACTCCACTTAGATGGTTGGTTACTGGTAGTCTTATTCACGAAACTTTGTATTAATAAAATTGCTATAAGATGATGAATAAATCTCAACTTCTACTTCCGCTAGTTGATGATATTGGAAATTCAAGCATAACTTAAGACGCCTCAAATTGCTTTTCAACTCAATATATACCGCTATATCCTAAACAGCTTATGTATGCTTCTTTTTTTTTCAGCTAAGGTTAATTACACATACTGTTAAATGAGAATACTAGCCAACCTTTCTTATCTGAGGTGATGTATTGTGCTGGACAAAGTAAAAATTGGAAGCAAATCATTTGTTTCAGTTTATCATCCAGCATTAAGTTACAGAAATCTTGTCTTTTCTGTTCTTTTATGGTGATTCTCAAGTTTTGAACCTACGTCTGTGCACATTTAAAATATTATACGGAGAAGTCTCTCATAATCAAAGAATGGTCCAACAATCTATTGCTTTTTAACAATGTTTCTTAGCCATTACTGTCTATTCATTCAAACATGGTCGAATTGTGATTCAAAACCAATTATTCTTGCATTTTTCTTTTACAAACGTAACAGATTCACCAATAAAATATCTCTCGTCAGATTTGCAAATTACTAGTGGTGTATACATTCACATGCTATTAAGCTTCCACGTTGAGCATGAACTAAACGGTAGGAAATAGTGAATTCATTTTTCTTATTTCCCTCACCATGTTCGTCTTGACCTGTCCAGGTTATGGGACGTAAGAAGTGGAAAAATTGTCCAAACTCTTGAGACAAAGTCACCTGTCACTAGTGCTGAAGTGAGTCAGGATGGGCGGTACATCACAACTGCTGATGGTTCCACTGTTAAGTTTTGGGATGCAAACCAGTAAGTTTTATGTTGAATGTATGTTTATTTCATTTTTGTTTGATGAGCATGGAACCTAAGTAATTCCCTCTTTAATGCATCCCAGTTTCGGGCTTATCAAAAGCTACAACATGCCATGCACCGTAGAATCAGCTTCACTCGAACCCACATATGGAAACAAGTTTGTTGCTGGAGGTGAAGACATGTGGGTTCACATTTTTGATTTCCACACAGGCGAAGAAATTGGTATGGTCTCATAACCTCTTTCTTATAATGCCATCCTGTATATAGTTCTATTTTTCGATAGAATGCTTATCACCATCAAAGAGTTTGTCATCAAAAGCGGGTATTAAGGAGGAAACCTCTATCAAGGAAGCTGCATGAGGATTAGCCCTATCATATAGCTTAGTTTTGACTTGATGTCAATCATCTTTCTTGGTGCTTAGTATGCTAAGAAAAGAATGAACAAGAAAGAGGCTTGCCAATAAGCATAGGCCTCCGGGGTCAACTTTGGTCAGGAAATCTATGTCAGTTATTGGTGCACAAAGGAGCTCCAATGCAAAGTTATTCTATACTTGCTAGGGGAATAGGAGTTGCATGTAGATTATAAGCTGGAACCTATTTGGTTAGGAAATAAAATCAAAAATTAAAATAAACAATTTTAGATGGCAAATATAAGGATGCAATGATCATTATATTTTGTGCACCCTATGATACCCCAACACGGCAATTTTGGCATCGTACCCGTGTCGGGTGCTCCGGGGAAACAGGAGTTTTGGAGCAGAGGAAAATGGGTTTAGATGCAAGGAAGAAGAAGACTCTCTCTCTCTTATTTCCTTGGTTTTAAATTATTTAGTGGAACATGATATCACCATTCACATGGGTGTTTGACTATTTGCTTTTGTCTTTTCTTTAAAATTAATGGCAATGCTAAGAATGGGAGACATGTGTTCTCATATTTAAATAGGTAAGTGTAAATGTATGTATGTATATACGTACGTATTTATTTATTTATTCTTTTTTGATGCTTATGTGGAATATAAAGTCAAAAGTTTCAAATGAGTTTACTTTATAATTTTAAGGAATGAACTTATTTTATTGAGAATTTGAAATTAAACATAGTAAAATTGCTATAGTTAATATAATTGTTAATTGCTTGCATGTAATGAAGAGTTAAAGATGGAAGTTGGAAAGTTACAAAGCCTTTCACATGCTGAATTGTTGATTAAACTTTTATTTTTTTTTATTGTCGTATCCTCGTACCCGTGTCGAAATTTAGGACGGTGTCCCCGTATCCAAAATTTTTAGAAATTTCGTATCGGACACTCGGATTATATATATATATGAGCCGTGTCCCCGTACCCTACTTTTTACAAATTTACCGTGTCCCGTACCCGTACCCGTGTCCATACCTGTACCCGTACCTGTGCACCATAGTTCAAAGGTTCATTGTAAATTTTTTTTGACAATATTAGCATCAATTCTTATATGATTTATGTGATTTGTTATCTGTTCCATTTCAAACTATTAGCGCGATTTAAAAATCAAAGCAAATACGGACCGTCGAAAACCTAGTGGGATAAGTTTTATAAACACAATGAGTAAAAATGGTGCTAGTGTGTCGTTTAGTCTTGGTGTGTCCATGACGTAGCACTCATCCAATTTGTCAGAATGTGTATTTTTTATGATCTAATTTGTAGTACTGTGGATGCGTCGCACTGTCAGGGACACACCAGTCAAGACCATGAATGGACACACTGGTCCCTGCTTACTCGATCTAAGTTATGTAATGAAGTATTGTGCATGACATGGCTCCAATCTCCCGGCGTGTCAACTCTGTTCTTTCACCATAGATATCAGCTATCTTTAACAATCACATGTACAAGTTTGGTTTATGTGGTGGAAAAATATTTTCTCATGATCTGGGCATGTTTGTTTTTACTTTATAAATGCAGGATGCAACAAAGGTCACCACGGTCCTGTTCACTGTGTACGCTTTTCTCCCGGAGGCGAATCTTATGCATCAGGCTCCGAGGATGGAACCATCAGAATGTGGCAGACAGGTCCAGCCACAACCGGTGAGAACGAAGCTAATTTCAGTGCCAACGGGCCAACGGATAAGGTAAAAATCGGTGTAAATGATGCTGCTCACAAAATCGAGGGTTTCCACATCTCAAAGGAAGGGCATATCGAAGATAACAAGGGGGAAATAACAAAAGATTCTTGATTTTGTTCGTGACCGCTATTTCACGAAATAGCAGAAACGCGTGCGCTTTGTTACAGATGTTCACTTTTGGTTTAGAAATAAATAGGTTAAAATTTTGTGTTTCGTCTTTCAATAGATCAGGGAGTTACATGTGTGGGTGTTTGTAGAGGGAACGGGTATTCGTTCTTCGTATGCAGGAGATTTGTAATGTCATCCGAGTTAGAACTGCTTGTTTACTGCCCTTGATTTTCTGCAGAGGCGTGGTAGCAACAACTATAGCTGATATTTTTGTGATGAACATGAGTATACATTGGGTTGGGGTGTTGCCCTGAGTAAATTTAAGTGCTTACTCTAAACGTATGGTTTTCACGGTTGCCCTTCTTCTGCAGTTGTTAGCAGCGTAACTAACAAATAGGGTGCATGCCGGCGTATCGGTTTTGCTGATTTTGATGTTCAGTTGTATCCGGACTGTAGTCTGTATAGTATTTTGGTTAATTTGTACAGTACTTATGCCGGTAACATCTCGCACATGCTTAACCTCGATACGGTTATTTGAATTTGGGCGCGTTACATCATGAATGGCAAAGCGAAAGTGCAACGAAGCGCACCCAATAATATATAATATATATATATACTATATATATAATATATATATATATAATATATATATATATATATATATATATATATTAACTTTTATTTTTATATTTTCAATTCTTTTAGGAGGCCACGAAAGAAAGAGCCCGTACAAGTGCATCCAATTTAGTTGTAGAAAATGACGTATATCTTTATAACAAACCAAAAAGGGGGGAAAGTGAATTTTCAATTACTAAGAACACCCTGCTGGTGTGGTGAAAATATGATAAAATTACGTTGGCGTTCCGTTAATACTTTTCACAGCTCGAATGAAAACTTTCATGTTTGCACAATAAAATAAATGTTAAGAAAAAACAATTAAAGATATATAGGCGCGAAGAGAGTGAAACTATAAGTTTATTATCTAAGTGCTATTTAGCCTCAAAATTACTACTACCACTAGTTCCCGAAATCTTGTAATGTGAACCTTAGGCCCAATTTGGCCCAACCCTGGATTAACGACCGAAGCCGTAATTCCCTTTAAGGACAAATTTTCAAAACCGACCCCTTGGGGTTTTTATTTGCAAAAAACGACCGGTTTTGAAAATATTTACAAAAACCGACCCCAGGGGCTGAAAACAGGTCGGTTTTTGAAAATTTTTTTCCCAAACTTCACGGGAGTTGAACTCCCGTGAAGTTTTTCTCATAACAAAACTTCACGGGAGTTCAACTCCCGTGAAGTTTGGGAAAATTTTTTTCAAAAACCGACCTGTTTTCAGCCCCTGGGGTCGGTTTTTATAAATAAGTTTGAAATGGGTCGTTTTTTGCAAATAAAAACCCCAAAGGGTCGGTTTTGAAAATTTGTCCTTCCCTTTAAAGGCAGGGGCAATCGTATTTTCAATCTTCCCTAAAATTACAATTATACCTCCCTCTCGATCCCCTCCACCCCCCCGGGCAAAAAAAAAATACCCCGATCTCTCTCGATTCCAGTCGATTTCTCCGCCGTCTAATCCTCGAAAGAAGAAGGAAAATGTCGGGAAAAGGAGCGAAGGGATTGATAACGGGGAAATCGAACAAGGACGACAAGGACAAGAAGCGGCCCGTCTCTCGCTCCTCTCGCGCTGGCCTTCAGGTCTCATTTCCGATCTCTTCCTCTTTTTTTTTTTTTACTTTTTTTTGTAATTTTTCTTCTTTTACAGTGTTTTGTTTAGTGCTTTTGTTGTTATCTGCTGGTAGTGGCTTAGATGGAGGAAATTGTTGACTAATTGTAGCGATACGCGGTGCTTTGGTCGATGCCACGAGAGAAGTTTAAATCTTTAGTTTGGAAAAATGAGTTGAGAAGGGAGTTTTTTTCGGCTAGAAAAAATTATCGACTCTCGAATGGTGCTTGGGATTTGTGGGTTTTTTGTTTTCGCTAAATGGCGTTTAAATACCACAAAGTTTCCCCGTTTGGGAACTTATATGCCATGAGCTGTTTTTTTACGTCAAATAAAATAAATACACCATGAGCATCTCCAACAGTTTCTCTAAAAATTTCTCCAAAATGGGGAAGCAAAAGTCATATTCTCCAAATTATTTTTGCTCCAACACTAACAACTTCCCCATTTTGAAGAATCCTGCATTTATTACAATAATAAAAATATTCTACATTCCTATTTTTGGATGCTCTTATGCATTGGAACTGTCCCAATGGTTTTTTTTGTAATTACGGATTTTGTTTTATATTTATTTTCTCCTCCATCCCGTCTTGAAGAACGTGTTGCATTCATGACCAAACTTTCCCCAAATATTTGAAGAATGCTCCGGATTTGGAGAAGACTCCCCTTTTTTTCTCCTCCATCCCTATTTTGGGGAATGAGATGGGGAATCTGTTGGACAAAAAAAAGCTCAAAATTCTCCAAAAGTGAGAATACCAATAAAATGGGGAAGCTGTTGGAGATGCTCTAAGTTGTTTAAAATTGGCACGTTAGTACCCACAATCACGCAAACGTGAAAATCCCCCCGATTATTTCTCTATGATACCTACATGCTAATTTCAGAGCTTTATAATTGTTAATATTTGTTAAATTTGCTATTAAATCTACCGAAATTCTTTTTTTAAAACTTATTATAATTCTACTTTAAAATAGAGTTGGGATGTGTTTAATGATAAATTTAACAAATATTAGTGGGTAGAAAGTTATAAGGTTAACATGTTAGTGTCATATGAAAACCTTCAGGTGGAAATTCTCACTTTTGCATGATTCAGGATACTAACGTGTTAATTTTAAGCAACTTATGGTATTTATTTCTCACGAAAAACAACTCATGGTATATAAGTGCCAAAACATGAAAACTTTATGGTGTTTTTAAGTGTCATTTCGCCTTTTTTTTTATGATTCAACTGACTGATAAACAAATGGTCTTTATTCTGGTATAGGCTGTAGGCTTGGTGTGAATGTTAGCGCTAGATATGATCTTGATGGTTGACATGACAAAAGGTTTGCAGAAATTTATAACTTTTTTGTTTTTTCTATTCCTTGACCTCCTTTTTTCCTTTTTAGCTTGGTTTTAGCAATAATCTCCATAATTTATGGTGGAGTATGCGTATCGTATAATTAGTTTTTTGTATACATGATAGAGTTCAGATCAAATGAAAATAAATGCGCTTAAACAAAATGTTATAGATGTCTCTCAAAGACGTGGAATCATTTTAGTAAGAAATAGTCCACAAATTTTGTGAACCACCAATAAGTTTGGGCCTTCAGCACTTAACACCGGAAAGTTTAAAACTCTCACTAAACCCCCAATAATTTTTGGAATTCTATAAAACCCCCAAAATGTTTTATTTTTTTAACTTGACACCCTCAACGGAGTCGACCTATGTTTTGAGTTGCAAACAGAGAATAACCCTTAAACATCATATTGTAGTCATTTGAAGTTAGTGAAAAAATTCAAAATGATATGTTTCAAGGATATTATTTTCTACATGACTTCGTATATGGGGTATCACGTGTATGAAAAGACAAGCTTATTTAAATTTTCTTGCTTAGTTTGAAACTATATTATCTTCTGTCTTCAATTACTGAAACTTAGCCTGATTTTAACTAAATAACATGACTAGGGGTGTGTGATGTATCAATTTTAATATGTCAAGGCATACGTTGGGATCCATGAAGTTTTATGGTACATATTGCTTGGGAAAAACAAGTAGTAAATGCTCAGAGCATTACCCTTAGATGTTTTCATAAGTTTCACCAATTGCGTACATTTTTTTTTATTTTCAGTTGAAAGTTACAGTGATCCGTAAATGTACATGTCCCTCTAAGGTTTTGAGTGAATTTGTTTTGTATATTTAACTCTTGAGGGTAGTTTTTCTTGGTTTAGTGGTGCTTTTAACAGTCTTACATTTTTCCTTCTACTTTCATCCCTTTTGTGTTTGGGGATGGAAAAATAATTTGATATCCTTATCAACATCATAAGTACCAGGTTAGCAGTTGTTGGAAACGATGTAAGTACCAGGTCAGAAGTTGTTGGAAGTTTGGACATATGGAATAAAAACTCACGGGAAAACATTAGGTAATTTTAAATGTAAAATAATAACGGAGAATATATTGATTATGTTATGATACACATAGCTAATTGTGGGGAGTTGGGGGGTGGGGGAGGGGGGTCGGGGAGGGGATGCAGCAAAAAGGACTGATGCACCCATTGTGGAAAACTCTGCTGTCTAAGCACATTTGTATAATATCTTACATTATCAGCTTATGGACAAGGATATTATATTTGTTAAAACTCATATAAAACTACAAACCAATTAAGTAGGTAATCTAAAATAGCCAGATACCACCTTCAACAAGAGTATGTCAGTATCCACTTAATAAGAATTATAAATGGTTCAAACAATCAAGTGTTTTTAAGTTATAGTATCAGTTCAACAATATTTTTATGATTTTAGCTGTTCAGGTTCACTTCCTTAGCACATATGCTTCATAAGTTTAGACTATAGTGTGTCATATACATGAAGTATTGTTGGTCACTGACTTATGTTACAGACCTGTAGGCAGTCGACTGCAGGTGTTGGGTATAAGACCTACTAGTTTCTAGTGTAAGCTGAATTACAGGTCTCTTTAAGTTTGGTGTGGATATATA